CTCTCTCTCTCTCTCTTCCTGCCGGCCAAAGATTGTTGCGACTGGTTTCCTCGTGTTCTGAAATCCAGGCTTTAAAAGATTGACACAGTGCATGATTAAGGAATAATTTGTCTAAATAAGATTAAGAGATAGATAGATTCAGAGGCACACATCAGCTTAAAAGGGTTTGCACGCATAGCGAGAGTTCACAATGAAAATGTAGATAATTAGTGCACTTAAAACGGAGTTTCTTTGCGTGTATGTAGTCTATTTTAAGTCAAAATAAAACTATTGTCTCTTTAAAAATCTGGCCTAATTAAAAGTGAATGCATTTTTGAAGTTCTAGTTCACTTCCCAGGTATCGCGATAGTTCAGGTGCGTGTTTACGTTACTTCGAGGAGCGCGCGAACATGAGAAGTCGCCTCAGAAATTTATCCAAGAGAGTTACGATAAGTGAGTCTCAAAAGCCGTTACAAACATGCAAACTTCAAAAAGCTAGTGTTTTAAACGCTGAGGGCTGGGCAACCAAACCAATTAGATGTAGGTTGTAGTGACCATTCTGCTCTTGCCCATTAGCGCTGCTGTCTCATTATACAGTCACACCATTTGGAATTGATTATAGATTAGCTCGAGAGCGTGACTGCTTTCAACTTCTAATGTTAACCTGTCAGTCTGGAGCCAAAAATCAGGAGGAAAGACGATGATTGGGGAATGTTTTTAGAATGACACTTTATTTTTAAGAGAGTAGCACCTAGCTAATAGGGTGCATATTAATTAGGGGAAATTTTATGGAAAATAAATGGTGAGTATGGACTTCTGGGCTGGAAACACGTAGACAAACTTCCTAATTTAATTGGCATAAAGTAAGGTTACGCTCATTCATTAATGGATGTGACCAAGGTAAGTATACCATGAACGTTAAAACATCAATAATCACCTGGAGTCTTATTGATTGTTTTGCAACTTAAATATCCCAAAACCCAGACAGAGCTAAAGCCAATGCTTTGAAAACTTTTAAGTTTGTTCGTCCAATCATTATGCATGAGGATAAACTCACGCACAGAAAGCACTTTCCCAAGCAACGTAAGCTTTTAGCTTGTCTACTTGGTTTTGTCCCACACTTTTGGAGAACCTCTGGCTCAGTTTAGACCTGGGGGGGACATTTCTTTTGTTTGCCTCTGTCCATTCTCTGACTATTTGTCCCTGCAAGAGCAGTGAGCTTCTTTCCAGCATCTGCAGACTGGATTAGCCAGAGGAGACGGAGCTTGTATTATATCCTGAAGGGGCTTGTACTGTAAAGGTTCACTACAAATTCCCTCTCCTTGCCTTTCTCCTCCTAAACATACCGCCGACTTGAATGGGAGGATAACTCTTTGTTAACAGGGCAACTATTAACTCACATGGAGTTAATCAGAGTCAGTGGAACGGTGTATGTATTAACATCTGAATGGGCCATAGTCTCCACTCTGGTCTGCTTTATACGGTGGGTCCTCAAAAGGGACAAGGCTTTGCCCTTTAAATACTTCCTACTTCCCAGTATTGGTTGGCCTGGAAGAGAAAGCTGTGTTTAAAAATAAACACTTACAGAAAAATGCTTCCTGTGCGTGCTAATGTCACTGTTATCCAGATCTGGGATGCTGGATCCAAAGTAGATGGATAGTCTTTGATCTTTGACATCCATAAAATGCTCACATCCAGTCCTAACATGCAGTAAAAAGAGGATTCTGTCTTTAAAATCACAGCCAGTGACTCACTGGTTTACAACGCTGAGAGTAATTTCGGATAAGCACTTTGGATTTCTTTCTAAAAACGGACAGAGCCGTGTTTAATTGCAAAAATATTCCGGAGCATAAATGTGCCCGTGCCCTCCAGCTCTGTTCCTCTCTTTCCTCGCTGACAGCAGTGCTAAGCCCTGACTGGTCAAAGACAATGTGTTCTGTCTTTGTCTGAGCCTTAGGTACACAGATAGCGTTGACCTCTTCATTCAGACCCCTGGCCCGCCGAACTGGAGGAAATACTAATTAACAACTTACAGCTCTCATTTGTTCTCAACACCACTGGAGAAGCGGGAGTGTGAAAGCGGCTGTGCGGAGTTGTGTGTGTGTGTGTTACACATAAAGCGAGTAAACAAGTTATCTAGGAGCGTTATAATGACGTGCTATGCCGTCTTTCTGAAACTTGAGTTTGTTTTAACTCCACCATCACAGATGCTGATGCCTCGCGTCTTTATGCAGAAAGCATCTTCCAGAAGCTTGACCCCAGTTCGGCCTCCTGCAGAAGTTGCAGGACGTCACGGAGGATTAGATGAGGACGGTAAAGCTGTGTAAATTTCCCAAATGTCTATATGGTATCAGCTCCTCTGTTCTCCTCTGATTAGCTCGGCATGGTCTATTTGCTAAACCGGTGGCCCCGTCTTCTCGAAGGCCTCACTTATTTGTTCTTGATCATTTTATTGAGTCGCTGGATTGTTGTCGGGGGAAAGTAAAGCTGATGTGGAAATGTAGATTTAGTGGGATTTATCCGTGGTAGTGAAAAGGGCCTTTTCTCTGGTTTTGTTGGTTTAAACCTTGTCTTACCACCCACCCCCCCTTCCACCAACCAGCCTAAAAGCTTTTGACATCTTCATCTAGTTCACAGTGGGCAGGCTTTGTTTGCTCTTGTCAGGAGAGCGGATGGGGTTTTACCTCTGTGAGCCTAGTGGCACAAGCGCAGGACTTTGCCGTGGACGAAAAGGGAAGGGGGTTGGAGGGGGCGGCTTCTCCGCTCCAGCTCGGGCCAAAAGTGGGGCGCTTCCCTCCACCCCCCCTCCTCTTTCAGATCCCCACAATATGGTCATTGTCCGGCGGTGAATAACGTGGCCACTCCGGCGATGTGGGCCGCTTCTCGGGCTTTGACTATGAACCAGATTTCTTTCTTCAGCGTGAAAGAAGTCTAATCCATGTAAATATGGGTATTCTGTAGATAGAGCTTTCGCCGCGGAGGGGAAGAGATTGTGGGGGGGAATGAGAGGGAGGGTCAGCAATTTAACCTTTGACCTGCCAAATAAGGAGCATGAAAGTTCCAGAATTGGCAGACAAAAAGAGGCTCCCGCGGCTGATTGAGTTTTCTTTGTGCCGCTCGGCTGTACGAGGATGACTGACAGATGACATGTTGTGAAGACGAAGACATGCGCGACTTTTGAGCGCATCACTGTACATGCAGCACAGAGAGATGAGGAAACTTCTGATGTGGTTTGTTTTTCTCTTGGCTTTAAAGCATTTGATCAGACTAAAAGTGCATGGATGATCTGGCCAGCCAAACTGTGAACTCAAGAGTCTGTTTTCCCCCAGCGCCTGTATCTTGCACACTTAAAACAGTTTTAGTGTTCTTTGAATATAACGTTCCAGAAACCCCCACAAACACACAACACCCAAATGTCACTTGTAAAACATCAAGGGAGCCATAACATAGCTGGTAAAGACACAAAACATTGCCGTTAGCCCTGACGTGTGATATTGCTACGTTTACAATGGTGCATGGCTCCTTTTTAATTATTTTTTTTTTTTTAGGTATGTACAGTATGCAAAAAAAGAAGATTTTAATAGCTAAAACAAAGTATTTAAATATGAATGCATGGAGAATGCGCCCTATCCCCCACCTCATCTGTTGTCATTTTTAATTTTTTATACACTTTTCTTTATACACTGCCGTTCAAAAGTTTGGGTTCAGTAAGACTTGTAATGTTTTTTAAAGAAGTCTAAAGAAGACTTGATGAGACAAGTCTCATCAAGGCTGCATTTATTTGATCAAAAATACAGAAAAAAAAAACAGTAATCTTGCAAAATGTTATTACAATATAAAATAATGGTTTCTATTTTAATATACTTTAAAATATAATTTATTTCTATGATGCAATGCTGAATTTCCATCAGCCATTACTCCCGTCTAAAGTGTCACATGATCCTTCAGAAATCATTCTAATATGCTGATTTATTATTAGAATTATCAATGTTGGGAACAGTTGTGCTGCCAAT